CCGATTCAAAGTTTCTCTACCTTCCTAGTCGGTGGCGGCCTCTTCGTCACCGAAAGCCAGCTAAAAACTGAGTGCACAAATAAGAGTTCCTTGAATGAATAGCAAAACTGCATGAAAACAGCTTCCCTGGACAAAACAATGCTAACAACTAATATATTATAGTCATGTACTATTTATAATAGCAAAGCCTTTAATTTACTTTGGGGTGTTAGCTGGTTTTCTTCATTTGGCTCTATTTGGTAGGACGTCTTAACAACTTCTGACCGAGCTGACAAGTTTTTTGCTGACAATCCATGATTGTCGAGCGAAAGACCTGTCTGCTGTACTTCGGTCAGCTTAACAGTAGCCATTCAGATCCTGGAGTACTCTTCAATATGCCCACTAATCGAAACGAAACGCCAATTCGGTTGTATCAATGATTCCGGTATCTGTGAATTAAAAATAGCACTTTCTCGTGTGATCTGTGTAAACATGCTGATTTACAATGAACTCCGTAATTTCAGTCACTGTAACTGCGATCAGTGAAGTTGGTCTGCTTTTGCAGATAACAAACAAATAAAAATAAAATAAACTACGGAATTCGTAATAGGAGCATGAAACGTGTATGCGAAGACTAAATGACTATTGTGCTTTCTGAGTCACCTCCTTGTTCGCTCAAAGAACACGCAGAACTGAATATACACAATAGGGTAATAATTCAAATATACTAAACCTACAATTTACCGATCCCGTCGTAAACAGCAGGGACAATCTACAATCTTTAACCGGAACCTTTCGGCCTCATCTACGATCTCCTCTTTGATTCGAAATTTCTCCAGACCAACGACTTATACGTTGTGATCCGTTAGCTCAGGGCCAACAGGTGCTATAGAATTAAACTCAGAAAGCAATCCACGGAAATTTTTGTTGGGGTTTTTGACGCTATGTATACCTTTATCGGCATCTACGATCTGAATTTGTGATGCCGAGATCATCTCGTCACTGTAATCGACTTTCTGTAGGCTTGTAAGAATGACAAAGTGCGGTAATAAATTACTTCAGCAGTTCAGCAGCGGACCTGAGTGGCGTTCGTCGTCGTGTATGATATTGACAAAGATGTTCAGAAGCTTTGTCAAAGCAGCTTTGTCGAAGAAGGACAAGGAAGCAAATAAATGGGCAGGCTTCTATATATTATATATTAGATTGCACTATTTGTAATCTAACAGCGCCTTTCATACAGCAAAAATTTACTAGAAGAAGATAAGCCTTATAATATAGGCAGATCACCTAGACAGCGCCTGCTATATATTTTTTTAAGACACTTGCGCGTCGCCGACGCCGGCTGCTACATTGAGGATAGGCTTCTGCGGTTTCACTTTCTATTCTATTTCTATTCGACGTCTTTCCATAAACAGGACGTCGTTTAATGGTCGCTTTTTCGCGATAATTCTGTTGGTAGATTCGCTACCTTTCGCTGCAACTATACCGTTCTTAAGTAGGTTTCCTTTTGTCTGTAAAATTATCGATAACCTCGATCGGTTCGACATCGGTTATTAATGGCTTCTCAGTTTTTGTTTATGTGTTCATGACCTATCTCGGTTGAGATGATAACGTTTAACTGTAAGAAACTTCGGATCTATGTGAATTGGTTATTTTATTGAATTCGAGTTCGAAGTCACTGTTTATATTGCAACTGCCCTGGTTGTTCATTCAAAGTTTCTTATATGTGCCGAGGTTGATTCAGCCGTCGACTTCTTCTTCTGCTTCTGGTGTTTCTAGAACCGCTTGAGTTATTTATCCAGAGCGCCTGGTTCGATCAGACTTGTACCAAGTTACGCAGACTCTGCAACGCTCTCTTTCTTTCATTAAATTACGTTTTTATTTCTAGTAGCATCGGCCTACCATGATACCTTGTATCTTCGGGACTTGGCGAACAAATCGATTACAAAAGCACGCTGCTACAGATATGTGTGGACAGTTACTGAGTTGCAGCTCAATACGACTCTGTATTGTCTAAACTGGCGAAAGGTTTTATATGATGAATAGTTTTAGTGAATGACATATTTAGGGAGAGAGCAAATGTAGACTTGAAGTTTAAATGAAGGCCGACATTGGTACACTAATAGTTATATACATACAAAAAAGGCACGAAAATAATTATTACTGAATAAATATATTATTTTACACTGAAGAGGCCACAGGATTGATTACCTCGTCATATAAATGCCCAGGATACTCATCTTTATTATTCACACCTCCCTGTAGTTTACTCACGATACCTGGGCATACATTGGTGTCTTGTTACTATTGATTTTTTCGTGTGCAGTCGTAATAACCGCACTTACACATCATCGTCTACGTGCAAAAACATTATGCGTCACAACATCTCACAAAAATGTATGGCAAAAGTCTATTTGTCGAATGTGAAACAGAGAAAATTGTACAATAGAGAAAGCAGTATATGTTTATAACATACATACAGTTCAATCAGCACATACGCTGGTTACAATATATAATTTTCAGTTTGGCTTTTTTTAAAACAGGAGCTGAATCTAAAGCCTTTGCCTAATTTTGGCCATTCCCATAAGCACGATACCGAATTTCTCGAAAGCATCTAGCCATCGTAGCGCTGATGCAGAGACTACGGCAATATATCAAAACAAATCTGTGAAGGCACATCGAGAACATTAAAACACTCTTATCGAAACAACCGATTCAATCATCTTTCATTTATGCGAATCCTTCGAACGCCACTCATGGACAGCTACCGAGTGACAACAGTTTCTAAGCTTTAATATAAGACGGAAACAAACACAACTAGTATTTTTCGGTTATTTTTTTTTAAAACTACCGGGCCAATTTTATCGGATGAAAAAATATGTGAACAGCATAGGATGCAATTCCAATGTACCATGTAAAAATAAAATTCGAAGAGCAAGCATATTTAAACCGAAGGCATTTGGTCAGCAGATAGTGTTGTTGCGCTGCAGAAAGAGTCGCATAGAAGTGTTGAGTTTTAGTAGAATCATAGAGCACCACCCAAGGGCTTTGCCCCCGTCTGTTTCGCTATTAAAAGTGCGTGGATCATGCTGGTTGTTGCCTTACTGTTTGCAAAGAGTGGTGTGGCGTTGTTTACAAACGTGTACAAAAAATTATTTGCCCAGTCTGACTCAGGTTCCGCAATGCACTTCTCACGATACACCTCTAACTGACTACAAAAATCAGCTTTATCGGTGGCCTCTAGGAGGTGTTGGGGAGGGGGAGGGGGGCATATTTATCTAGGAAAACAAACCATTTAAAAGGAAAGGACTGCAGAAAATCAAGCTTTCTATTGTATTGCTGGAAGACTTGCGGGGATTAAGTAATGTAACAACTGATCGCACAGATGGATAGGTGACGAACTTTACTGGCTTTCAAACAAGGGACATAAAAACTACTTGTCTCGAAAGCGTAGCACAAATGTTTGTTTAGCTAACTGTGATTGTCTTTCAAAGCTAGACCTTCTAGTAAGTCTTTAATACTATACTGAACAGGCAATTCCAAAGGCTTATTTTGAAGAAGAAACAGCCAAAGACAGAAAGCAAGAATGCTATTTGGTCTGCTTTAGAAAAGCATCTGCTTGATAAAGATGACATCAATAATTTGTATAAGCTTCGTTCAAGCCTCGCCATTGACGTATATTGCACAACAAATAAGTAAATAAAGAAACAAATATATAAGCTTTGTAAGTAAACGTACTCTTTTTTTTATCTTTCTAATTGCCTAGTGAATGTAATTAGCCTACAAACATTTTACTCTCTACTTATGTATGCATACAATAATTGAATACTAGATCCGCACCCAGCGGAAGTACATAGGTACGCGGTATTTACTGCCAGTCAACGGAAGAGTTGAGTTGTCCTTGTATGATGATAGCGCAACTCGACAAAAGCTGGTCGATCGTTATACTAAATTCACTTCATGCTGCTTCAAATTCCTACAATTTTTTCACTTCTACCCAGCTTCTACCAAACTATCCTATTAAAGCTCTTACTTATAACTTCACTTCGTCACAATGATTTTTGAAACTAGTCAAAAGAGTTCTCTCAAAGTCGACGAAAACGCGAATGTTGTATTCAAAATTCAGTTGAATGAGCTTCGTGTTTTTCATGTATGAACTAATAATACGAATTTCCGTTTATAACACAATGAACATAGTGTATATTGATCTTACCTTATACGTTTTCCCATATATTAATACTACTTGTTTAAAATAATTTCCACACGTAAAAATGTATATGTCAGGGGTGGGATTCGAACCCACGCCCGGAAGACCGGACTGCGACCTGAACGCAGCGCCTTGGACCGCTCGGCCATCCTGACACGTGTAGAACACATGTGTTTAACACAATTAGAGGATGTCTTGTACTAATTTTGCGAGCACACTTTGCCAGAGGTAAAGGTATCTTGCAACCCATTGTTCACAATGCTGCAGTTCCTTCAAGAGCATGATGCGTTGTCGTCTGCCCTATTTGATTTTTTTTCTTTTCGTCAAAACACTGATTCATTTATCCATAAAAAAAATACGAGAGAAAGTTTCAATGAATCCACAACTAGGAGATCACAAAACCGATTTCTGAAAGAGGCTATATGGTCTCTGTTATACGCGTATTTACTACTTAGCGGTGTTCAACTGACATTATGTATGCCGGCAGATTCTATACAGATAAGTTTTGTGACTTTTTAAGCAAATGACACATATATGTTTACTTAATAGATATGCAATGAAATGAATCTATAAAATTTAGTAGTCAAACTTTAACCAGACTGCGCGCCTTTGCTTCGCTTACTCCGCTCTAATGAATGGAATCAACCATCCATCGCGGTACGGCCTTGTAAGTACTTGCAGTACGCGATTTAAATTTTGGCGCTCTTTTCACCCACCACCAATTTCGTGTCCATTATAAATTTTAGGTTTGGACAACTTGACACATATACTGTTTTATTACAGCTGTTTACTTTATAGTCAGACCTAACAAGAATAAGAAATTCGGGTAAGCAAGTGGCGAACTACCCAACGTAAACTGTTCCCCTGTTTTACTGGTGCGTTTCCGGTTTCTTTTTCGACTTGCTCGCGTGTAGCACGCTGTGCGTGTGAATGAAGTGCGCGTTTTTGGTTTTTTGCTGTTTTACGCCCCTGGTCTGCCTTTGTGTATTGCACTGAAGTAGTTTCCCCGTGTTTGTGTTTGTCGACGTCGTGGGTTTTATCGAAACGTGTGATCGCGTGACGAAAAAGGGACCAATATCAAAAAAATGTCGTCCAGGGTAAAAAAGGCCCAGGCTACCCAATCCGCTGCTGCCACACCAGCCAATGAGAAAGCGGCCGAAAATCTGAAAAAGCCTGTCGAGAAACCCATCCAGAAACCTTTCCATACTACAACGGATCATTTAAGATCTCTCCTAGCTGGCGATTCACCAACGAAAACAAAGGCTCCTGCCGCTGACGGCAAAAAGGCTGCATATCCTAAAAAGGACGAGAAGAAACTGGCAGAGGCTAAGGAAGATGAGGTTGTAGTTGACGACGCGTCTGACTCGGATACCGATACTGGCCTGGAGGATTCGGGCGCCGACGACGAGAAGGGTGATGAGGCCGGCAACGGTGATGACCCAACCAATGAATTAAGACAATCCCGCTACGAAAAGAAAGCTCGTAAGATCATGTCAAAACTCAACCTCAAGCAGGTCACCGGCATAAATCGGGTGGCAATCCGCAAATCAAAGAATATTCTGTTTATCATTTCTAAGCCCGACGTGTACAAGCCACCCTTTACGGATAGGTATATTGTTTTTGGCGAGGCAAAGGTCGAAGACCTTAGTCAACAGGCCCAGTTAGCGGCTGCAGAAAAATTCAAGGCGGCGACCGCTGCTGCTGCCGAACTTGGTCCTTCGGCTGGCAGGACACTACCAACGACGGCTGACGAAGATGAGGACGAAGAAGACATTGACATGAGTGGAATCGAGGTGCGGGACGTCGAGTTAGTTTGTGCTCAGGCGTCCGTATCGAAGGCGCGAGCCGTACGCGCATTGCGGAACCACAATGGCGATATTGTCAACGCCATCATGGAGCTCACTGTGTAAACTTTCATGGGTTCATGAACACGCACGAACATACAGACGACAAGCACGTTACTATCATTAATACAATAAAGATGTAATAATGCGACGTTGTGAAGGAGTTGAGTTAAAAAGAAAATAAAGCCGAACTAATTACGCTCACAACGATGAAACGTACGCGTATAGAACACGCAATAAAAGACAAACCAACAGACAAAACCAATCGCGAGAAGCAAGCACAGTGCAGTTGGAGCTGCCGTAAGGCGGACACCAAATAAAAAAACAACACGGGGTTAAGTTATGTAGTAAGGCTGTTTTTCTTTTTTGTTCGTCCTAGCCCTTTTATGTTGTAGTGATGGTCTATGCAACGACGACGAATCGTCAACGAATTAGCAACAACTAATACTTGTGTGCGTTTTAGTTCTAATAATTATGCTCTCGTATCACGTAAACTCATGACTCGAAACTTACTGGGGATTAGTATTCACATCTAGAGCACGTCAATGTACCTGAAGGCCAAGTATGTTCTAGGTTAGCTATGTATGGCCGTGGTTAACAGCACGATTGTGCCGGGCAGCATTTTTGCGTACAGCTGTTAACATTTAGCTCATTCTACATCCTTTTTTAAACATTTTGTATCAGTTACACCTTATGCATCGGTATGTCTCTCAAGTAGTCGAATAGAAGTTAGGGGCTCACATATTACATTTTTTAGTGCCAAAGGCACACCTAATCAAACATCTGTACCAATGGCCAGTTATTCGAAATGACGGCAAAAAAATATTCATCTACACCATTGCGCTTTTTTTCACCAGTCTCAAAGCTCAAATTTTTGTGATCGTCGATTTTCTGCAATGTTGTGGTTCGAGCGCTATACGCACCCTCAACCTGTTGTGTTTAGAAATGGCTAATGCGGCAACAACTAAACGTTATCAAGCTGCGTAGTCCTTTGAGGAAGCTTTTTTTTTTCAATCTTCCTGTCTCGAACTTTATTGGAAGCATGTATCATTAGCAGTGTGACCTGTGTATTGCTTGGCATTGACAGCAACCCATTAATTCGACGTTGATTTAATAGAAACGAAATTTAATTTCGCGATGTGATCCATCCGTCATTATTTTTCATTGTACAACTGTAGATTTCTAGTGAAAGGAGCAACATGACGTAGACCCAATGACAATGCCGTTTTTGTACTGACGGTGGAAACATATTGTTAGTCCGTTCCAGTGTAATTTGCTTTAGTGTATTTGATTTTTTGTAGGGAATAGTCAGTGCGATTTTCGAAGTTAGTTAATGCAAGTAATAAATTTTAAATGTTTCTCTTATGAGCAAATTTTACTAAAATTGTGTTGGCCATTTCAGTTTAGCCCGTACTTGAAAATAATTTTGTGCAGCGTCAATTGCTACTAGCAACATTGTTTGTATAATTTTTAAACCGCAGAATATCTTAACACGTTTTCATACTTGACACTTTCATACCGATATGTAGGAACTCACGATTATTTAAATGGTAGGTGCATTGAATAGAGAACAAACGTTTTCCAGCCGAATGTGTTACTCCACGACAAGCAGCCATCCCAACTTATTTGGTTCTTCAAGCGTTATGACGATGCACCATATTTGAATAATAAGTGCAAAGACGATAATGACAAGCGGTAACAAGTGTTACTATGTAAAGCTTCCATGAAATTAAAAGAGATCCGATTCATGGCGGTTAATTACTGGTCACTTAGTTTGTGTTTGATAGATGCACTGATTCTAAGCATGTGCTTAGGCATGTTATAAGACAAGGGCTGCGACTAAAATTTCGCAATTTTTTTATTTGATTTATTTATTCACATTAAGGCGCAGATTTCTTCATCGTCCGTTTACTTGGGTTTTTATATAAAGCGTATCTATATCAGTGCGCTCGATATATCCTTTAACATTGCTGTGTTACAAAGAGGATTGGATTACTCAAAGCTGTTTACTTACGTTAGAGTTTCTTGGCTTTTCTGATTGGAACGCCACAAGTTAACGTTGTTAGTGCTATTCCGACTCTCTATCATTATATGCTACGCCCTAACTGTAAATAGGCAACCCTATATAGAATTGCTTACTTCGTAGATATTTGAGGACGTTGTGAATGTTCAGATTATATACAACGTTGTAACGACTCTCTTAACCTTTTGATCTATACATGCCAACTCGAATAAAGACATAGTTCAACCATATTTAGTTCCTTATCCCTTGCAGCATTAGTTACGACTTTATAAGCACGTAACTATTTAACGTAATTGAATCCCTTTTATATATATGGTTGATGTTTTCTATTCATATCTTTGAATGTGTGCTATCATTGTTATTATTTAAAACACGCACAATACATGTCATAAAACAGTATTATGGTAATGTATATGAATTTATGTCCTTAAAGTACGAGGCTCGCAAATAATGGGCTACATTTTGTCTGCACGCTGTATACATTCTATTCCAGGAAATGCTGGTAGCGTGAAGTAAAGTCGAAAACATTTTTTTAATTCGACTATATATTTGACAAAATTAACTTACCTACGTAACACGTTGTCGTAGCTTCCATATCCAAAAACCGAGAATCACTACATCATCTTTGGGCCTACATGGAACATTAAAATGGCGAATTTAAGAACGCTTTTCCTACCGTTTATTTTTTTGGAATAAAAATTCAACGCAGGCTTAATTCACTGCATAACACACAACAAGGCCATAAATGAGACGCTATACGATAGATGATATAACAAAAGCACTGTCACGGTGAATAAATGGTTTTGATTTCTATCAAACCAAATAACAGATTGCCTTGACCTTCGCTCGCACACTTTTTTTAACCTAATTTAGGGAGAATCTTTTCTAAGGGTCTAATAGTCTATGCTCAAGGCCTATTACAACCAGAACCTTTATTCAAGAAAAATTCATAATAAACATGACATAGTGAATAATTATTTCATGACTATTATTCAATTACCCGATAAGCAGAGTTTATAGCAGCGGGGATTGTATCTACAAACAAAACGTATTTAATTTCAGTACTACTGTATCTACTTTACTCTGGAATAAATAGAATTTATCTTCCAGTATTCAGTCGTTGACACAGACCTAACCCTGAGACCCAAAATAAGGGTACATTTATTTATGTGAAACAGTTTTAATCTTACATATGTAACAGATAGCATTATAGGTCGTTGAAGGAAGTCGCTTTTGTAACTAAGCATCACCATAATTCTTTGCCTCGATGCAGTATGAATTTAAATCAATCCTGAACAGTTTAGCGTATTTAACTAGATTTGTTATTACATTGTACTCATTTAGAAACCAGGTACACGGACAAAGATATTTGCATCGACATAGACATTTTAGCATTGCACTTTGATAACAACTAATGCAACAAAACGCATGAACAGTTGGTTTATTTGGGTAAAATAAGTTCAAACTGATTTCTCAATTCTATTGAGTTTGGTCCTATTAGGCATTTTCTATTTGATTTTTTTTAGTTCATTAAAGTTATTTGTAACCATGAATAGAACAAAAAAAGATAACCTTAAATATTCTTTCTCTAAACGAGGCGAATCGGGTGCACGCTACTTAGCTACTTAGACGAATAATGACATTTTACTTTATTATACAAGGACTAAACATTTTAATGATTATAGCCTTTATCAATGTACAGATCCACGGTGGTAGAGGCGACTATGAAAAAGACCGGATATCGACCTAACATGCAGAATATTACATACTATATCTTGTGCATCGACTTGTTTCATTACCTTTGTCTGTACAGCTTACCTCAAACCGGTTTTTATACGCATGTACATGTAACTCGTGTAGCAGGATTTAGAAATTAGGCCGAGCGTTACCATGCCAGCGGTTCTCTTATTGGCAAACCATATTGCTAGACAAAGGAAACATGTAGCCTAGAAGAATAAGTGGATGCTCCAGTTTAGTGACATATATCGACAAATTTAAACCTGGTAGACTGATTTTCTGCAAGATGTCAATGCTCCCCACAAATCAGGAAAGTTACTTCTTCGAGTGGATTTCTCGATCGCAGCGATTGAGCTAAAATAATGTAAATCATTTTCAATTGCTTATTTTAGCTTGCCTGCGCTTGTTACCTATACGGAAGTCGTATTGTTATGTCGATAGATAAATTTCTGCTTGCTATGTTAAGCTCGAGGGATACGACATTATCGAATTTTTCAAGGAAGTCAGACCTTGGATTGTGCATATTTGCAAACATGAGCAATATCCGGGTTCTGCAAAAGGAAATCATGTGTCTTATTTTACTGTGTAATTGTATTATTAAACAATAATGTCTTCCTTGATTGGGGAATATGGTCGAATAATTTAAAATATGGCGGACAAATCTTATCTGTTAGGTGAAGCTGCTCCATAGCATACCCTTTCAGTCCAGCGATGTTTTCGAAGTGCACTAATAAATTTAAGTAAAACGTTTCCAAATGTGAACGATTCTATGAAGTAGGAGGCTTTTGTAGGTTTCCGCCAGAATTTCTTCTGCTGATTTTTTGGTGCTTTTTTTTTCAACGCCTTTACTGTGGCTCTTTGTGCTAGCCTTGATGGCCTTGAAGTGTCTATTTTGTCGGTTTCTTTGAAATATGTAGAACCTTTTTTGATTGGTCCGGCTATTGTATTTGTATTCATTGGCAGCGGGTATAAAGTTGATGCACCAAGGTCACAGGATTCGATACAAATACATTCCTGAACCGTGCAAGCAACTACAGAAAGAATATTTTTTTAAATCAAGATTTATTTTTTCTCCTGTTTTGCAGGACGCCTTTTTAATTGAACGGAATGCACTTTTAGTGGCATTGTCAAGTTGTGGGATTTCATGGTCTATGGCGGACAGTCCTATGTTTTCCCGGCTCAGTTGTATTTAAACAGTAAGATGGCCAATTTTTAATTATAACATAGGTTTAACGGCTATACGCGTTATAGTGTATTTAATTCTGAGCTAGTTCGTGCATATAGTGATAAAGGCGATACAATTAAAAGACGGATCCGTATCTTTAACTGTTGGCTTGTTTGCCGATCGTTCAGTTCTCTGCCGTTTGGCTTTAAAGGTCGACAAACGAATGACACATTCTCTTTCAATCTTTGTAGATTTGTCAACGTACTAATTCAGAGAACACTACGCGTGAATGCATAAGAACTACGTATATATCTAGTCTAAACAGCTTTCGCGAAACTTCAATGTAGCATCGACTATTTTTCTATCATAGTTATAAATCACTAAACACATAATTCCACGCGTTTCTCGGCATAGAAATATTTGACCATTGTGTCCTCGGAAGATGAAGCGTGACAAAATGATACTTGAAACTCAATAATAGAATTACAAACAAGATTAAATAAGCGTTTGAACTTCGATGCCCTGTGATGTCATAAAGTATTGCCTCTGACTACGATTCGGATTAAAAAAGAGAAATATTTAGAGATAAAGAAGTTACTTCGAATTCATTCATGCATCCCCTTGTATAGTCTACTTGACAGCAGCGAGTAGCCGTACTGTTTGTTTTGTATTAATTAACTGAGCCACTTTTTGCCGCCTTAATACTGCGGGGAGTTATAACCGCATCGATTGCCACAACTGGTAAGCTATAAGAACGAAAATTACTACCATATTTTTGGCTGTACACCACTACTGTCCGTGTAATTTTCTCGTCTAGCAAGAGCAACCCATCCATATATGCACTTTTGCCCTAGTGGCTTAAGTTCTTGACGATTCAGCTGAAGAATAGAGAACGTGAAGATGTTGGCCAGGTGCTCGAAATTCATGTTGGTAGCGTTCAACATCACCTTTGTGTTGCTTAGCATAGGAATAGCAACAGTTGGGGGCCTTGGATTATATTTCATGCAAAAGTCGGGTTATGCCATCGGCGATAACTACGTCAGCATACCTATTTTACTCATTTTCATCGGCTCAACAGTATGCACGCTAGCTTTTATTGGATGTGTTGGTGCCCTTTGCGAGAGCGTCGGATTGCTAATTACGTACGCCCTGCTAACTTTCCTCGTGCTGGTCGGTGAGGCTGTTGTGGTTATTCTGGCTATTACCCACAGAAGTCAGACAGAGAGCATCGTCGGAGAGACCTTGAATAAAACGCTGGTGGATTACTGGAAGAACTCGAAGATAAATTCAGCGAAGGCCGCCTGGGACTTTGTACAAACTAAACTCGAATGTTGCGGGGTTTACGGCCGTCACGATTGGAAAGCCCAAGGCCTTTTACCGCCCAGTTGCCAAAACTTCACCACCGGGTGTCTACCAGCAATTGAAAAGAAACTAAATGAATTCATCCCACATATAATTGTCTTTGCTTCTTTGTTTTGTGCAGTAGAAGTTGCAACAATCTGTGCTTCTTGCGCGTTGGCCCTTATACCGAAAAGTAATTAATCATCGTCAGGAGCATTACTCAAGCCAATCTGAACGACACTTTCGACAATATTATGGTTTTATTGGATAGGCGAGGAAAAATACATTTGGCTATATATGAGTGAGGAACTTGTGACTGGACGTTTTCCTTTTTGAGACCTGCAGATAATTACTATCAGAAAATAACCCTTCGATTTACTTTGCCAGCGGTCTGACAACAATGTTTTTGTACCTAGAGCTTTATCACTGTTGGACACGGCAGTTTTCGAAGGACATTTTTACGTTGTAAGTCTCTTGTATGAGATGCTGGAAATTATACGGAAGATCGAAAATGTACAATCAAAGTACGTTTGTATGGGGTGCGGTATTGACTTCTATTCTAGCCTTCAGTTTCCTTTTATCACATGTATGTATCATCACATTTCGGCTCGGAGTAAAAACGTTATGCGTTTAATCTATCTAGCAAAGGTACAGAGATAACATTTCATCATACACGGCAAGACAGAAAAAATAAAAATGGAAAATGCCTTGCGTTTCTGGCCAAACAAGTTAATATTATTTCCTAATCCCTGGATAGAACCGTTTAGCCTGTATTACCAAGAACTCTCAACAATGCACTGGAAATAGCTCTCCCCGGTGTCTAAAGCAATCAAATCCTCACTTCTTTTTCGACCAGAAAGTGTTCCGCGTCGATGCAGAAGCCAGTTAATTCGAGTTAGTGGTGAGATTTACTCTAGCATACGAATGATGTTAAACCGCAGAACTAAAGAGGTCGGAGACAATCTCGTGACCTCATTATATTGGGCTGTTTGTTCCACGAGCTGCTGCGAAATCGCGCGAGGTAAATGGAGCACTACGCATTTTAGCGAATTAGTTTAAAAAGCCACCAAATTTAGAAAATGAATGTTGATGATTTAGCTTATGATGATTATGATGATGAGATGAAACTGAACCCTCTTTTAGAAACAGCAAAGCTATATTGAACGTTGATCCTTCTCAAAGTAGATTAAGCAGTTAAGCGCAATTTTGCAGGAAAACATAGGCGAATTTTGTAAGCGAAATATTCAGGTAGGAAGGTCACAATAATTTTCATCTGTGAGCTTAATTGCATCAAATGTTTTAGAGCTAGCTCGAAGCTCCCTTTCTGTGGAAATCGGGTAAATCAATATTAAATAAATATATATACTGTCGTATTATTTGAAGTGAAATTGATTGCTAAAATGAACCGGGTTGAGCATATAGTGCAAACATGCATGGTTTTACTCCGATTCCTGTACGGCGGTATTAACGAAGTTTAATAGAATTTCTGTCTAGTCAGTTAACGGTCTATGAAATTATTTTGTGCGACTTTTATTGTGGAACGCGCTCTACTTAGGCTATATTTTACAATTTGTATTAAATCAAGACTTGACTAATGATAAATATTGCCGTATCTTAATAATAAATACTGGTCCAAAAAAAAAAAAAGCTTATAATTGTAGTAAAAGTTTTAGTCGATATTAACTATGAGTAAATTTCGAAAAGAAGAACAATTTTGAGTTAAAAATGAGTGCGATGGCGTGACTAGCATTATTTCTTGAACTTCTCAACTATACCCCAATTCTATTAAGAGCTAACTGAAGTAGATCTTTCAAAAATCGAGCAAAATCCTATTACTTCAAGTTATTTGGAAAAGGTTTGGAAACGACGATTTAGATATCTTCTAGAAGATTGCAATACGTCATAATAATAGAAAACAAACAAAATATGGAACACTATTTTTGAACAGTTTTATAAGCAGCTGCTTCGCTATGCCAGCAGTCGGTCACTTTATGGTTCGGCTGTCTCTTTCAGTGTAAATAATACCTGATCCTGGATAGCGTAAGTATTAGAAAGAATGACTGTTCTCAAAGGAAGTACTCAATCTCTCAAATCATTCAGCTTAAATGTCTTCTTTCCTATAAAAATTCAATACGACTTACATGGCATAATATTTTGATGGTCTCTTTCAGTTTGTTTTCATTTTAATATTGTTCATAAGGCTATATGCATACCACTCCTCATTTTCATCGTACTCTCAAATCTGGTAGAAAATGTTTTCTTTTTCCATTACGAAACGAATATCCTACTTAATCGACAGAGTAGCGTTTTAGCATCCCTACATAAACGTTTTTTTATTTTTGGTTCTTTGTTTTTCTCAAACCATTTTCAGTATTTTATGTAATTTTCTTTCATTCGAAGATTTCAGGTGCTTGCAACGCTTAACAACAGTAGCTGGCACGAAACGCAAGATCTTTGTTTAGATTATATAGCTGTAGCGGCTTAGTGCCAGGAAATAGCATGCTAAAGCAGAATGAAATGCATTCACCGTAAAGTTTAATTCAAAAACTGCCAAATAACTCATACTCACAAAAACCATAAGTGCTTTTTTGTCAACACAGGTTTGTCGACAGTTTTATGTCCATAAAAAAACACGAACGCCTCTTTCGTAGTTCTAAGAATATAACACACAATCATTATTAATTGTCATCAGTGATCAGTCCCTGATTATCATTCGATAATGGTTGACTCCAAGAAATTGACGATTGTTCTTGTGTCGTTCAGTAAATCATGGTTCCATTTGGTTTTGTTGTGAAACCTTCAGCGTATGGAATGACTCTTTCTCATCTGTTTAGGACACTTTTTAGGTTAAAACAACAGGCTATAAACTGAAACATTGTTTTTCCCTGACTAACAACACGAAATATCTATTCAAAACTGGCAGAAAATAGAACTTTAAAGTTCTATGAAATTCAAACTACATTCACAGTAAATTCATTATTCTTCTCTCGTTTCGAAAACCTACTTTATTTCGCTCGCGTATCATGTTCAATTAAAAACTAGCAGCCTATAACTTTTCGACTAAACATTAAAACATGTGAAAAGGAACAAAATCTGTTTTCTAAAGGTATAAGATTTAATTCAAAATAGGTATATTTTATTTAGTGTCTGCTGATTATTTATTAATTATGCGCTGCATTGACTGCAGTTTATGCATATACTCAATTTATCATACAAAATAAATCAACTTTATCTAAATTACGATGTACTTTCCATTTTAATGTTAGTTTTAAATTTAGAAATTAATTCATAATAATAAATTCATTCATCAACTATAGATAACCGATATCCATTTATTTTATAAATTCAAAGTTTTGTGTTAACAGGCAAATTTCGTCTCCAATTCAGTCTATTCGTTCCTACCTGCAGAACGCCCACACTTCTTGCACCTAGACTTTTATTGTATGAACAACAGCATAGTGCGGCTCAAGAAAAAAGAACAGCCAGAGATAAACCTAGGACCTGAAGATTTATAGTGGAAGCGAAAGTAATCCATAAAAGCGTCCGCTTCTAGATTTCGTTCAGAAAGCTTCTCTTCGCCGTCATCACTTCGTTTGGGTACTACAACACGTTTTCAAGCTGTCGTTCATGCTGTTAGTAGTACGAATCGCAATGAGAGAAATGACATCAACAGTTGAAGTGCAGTAGGGCTTTCGCGATAGTTCCTATCATCTTTGCCTGCCGACTTTCCATTCTGCCACTCACCGCTTCTCAAAGCACTCAAAAGCGCAAACTGTGTTGGGTCTAGTTGTCCGTAGTAGACGCAACAAACTTTAAATCTCAGCTAGTTCGTGTGACAAAAGAATGGCCACCTGAAGCGGTGCGTACCCTACGCAACGTACGTAACGCATACTGCGTTACTCAGCCTTGTCCAAATAAAATGATGACGCTAATAATTAGTGTCGTTATACGTAAGATACATAAGATTCCAGGTGGCCAGTTTTTGTCACCCAGGCCAGCCGAGATTCCTACCAGACCGCTTAAAGGATAAACAGCACGCGTAGCCAACTATGACGTTCCCGGCACAAAAAAGTATAAGTCAGTTTCAAAACATACTGCTACCATCAAAAATATATGGGTGGGATTTTCCTTTACGAGGAGATAAGTATTTAGAAATTCGAACAGACGCCGAGCGGAAATTTTGACGTGGTGCTATACAAACCCAGTTGGTAGTCGCCACTAGGAAAGGCAACTTACACTATTTAGTGCCACGCATCGTGAGTACACTGTCCACTGCGGCCACGAAATCCGACTCAAACTAGGGACGTGATACAGAACACGCATAAACCGTGACGAAGCAAGACCTCACAGCAGTAGAAGGAAAAATTGTATCGGCCTATCTTTAGGGCTTCGCTGTCTCAAGTCATGTGTATTAGGTACGAAAAATGAGCGATTGAATAATCGGAGCAGTAGTGTCAGCGTGCTATTATTTAGCGGCATTTTGTCGTATGTTTCCTATAAAGTAGGATATTGTTAAATGAATGGTACCTTCCGTATCAGTATAGTATGGAACAAAAATTACTACACTGGCATGAACAAGCTAGCTGATACTACTCTCTAGTAGCCATACATAACCGTTAAAGGATATATGTACTTGGAGATTATTAAGATTTTTGGAGTTTGGCTTCGGACATTTGTGTTTGCTTTTGCTGTCGACGCAAAACGACCGTACGATGTAATGATCGTGGCTAGTAATGAGTGGTTACGGCGGCAATACTATACTGGGAAACCCAAGGAGGTCAGTAACCTAGATAAAGAACTTGTTCGCTGGTAAAACATCTGATAGGAGTTAGCTTTTACTCATTTTCCGAGGACGGACCTTGAAACCCTATTGTAACTAGTTTATGCTGGACACGGCTTCCTCAACCTTAGCAACTTTGACACCAGAGAATGTAGATTGAGCAATTGTGGTGTATATAGTTTATTGGAAAAAAACTTGAGATCCTTCAAAAGCCTCCATGAGCCTTATCAATATGCGTGAACTCCACATGAATGCACCAATGGTCCGCGTGCGCATGTTTTCATGATTTTACGCTTTGTTGGCTGATTGTAGCGTCAAAAGATTGCTTTGTCTTTTCTTATCAGCTAATCTTGAACGCTTTTACTATGTAATATTTAAATATTTCATTACCCTTCACTGTGGTCAACTGAAAATTACCTTAACCACACTTCATTTTTTAATGATCCACCCCCGATTGACTGATTTGTTGAAAAGCTATATCGTTTACCATAGTCCTAATACTTACCGCATGATGCTGTATGATTCGCTAAAAG